TAATACCGATAAATTTCATGGAAATTGGCGTTAGGATCCAGGGGAGAGGGTGGAGTTGGGTATGAGGTCAGAGTTTAGGTTAGGGTAAGGGTCAAGGGTAAGATTATGGTTAATAGTAGAGTAACGGTTAAAGTTAATGTTAGGTTTAGGGCACGAGACCATCTTCCCTTTCTGGAATTAAATCGAAAACTGCCTGTATTGCATACGGGAGGGGGAGGACAGGAGTTCCTACTCCCATATCCCGTAGGAGGGAGGGGGCATAAAAGGCATTTCACCTGAAGCACTAACTAGCTTAAGTCAAAGTTACTGATCAAGAATAATCTTCAGCAGCACTAGTAGGAAAGATGTGTGTTTCACCTTAGTTAGTAAAATATCGCTACGCCATTTTAGATATGTTTTAAACCCACGCTGGAAACCGCTAAAGGTACCGTTTTCTGTAGAGCAGTTTCCAATGTATCCTTTGTTAACCATCGATTGCCTTTTCCAGAAATTTCTTCAGACTTCAAATAAAAACTGCAGTGTTAAGATGTTAGGCAGTATGTTCACCTCTTTGGACCGGAGCCCATCGCTAACTATGAGTTATTTTTTCCGAGGGGATTTGAGGCTGCAGAAAAAATATGTCCTTTACTTGGTTGTGGATAAGTTGCTTCCTGAAACTTCGAGGAAATATTTTGAAAGAGCCGTACTGAAACGCAATAAAGAAGATATGCACTCTTCTATCGAACGTAAACACACGCATACCCTGTTTCTCGATTATCCTGTGATTTACTTTCTGCTCGGTTTGCAATGGAACCTGCATGCTTCAATTCATCAAAACTTTCTGAATCCATGACAATTTTCATCCGGTTAAATCTTTTTGGCCAGACACGATGACTAACTGGTACTGTTGCATAGTTAGGGCACGTCCCTTGCCGCTGCAGAGGCTCTTCCGACGCTGCAGTTTAGTAGTTGTACAGGACAGCAGATTTCAATTCCTTATAAGGCACTCAAGCATCTGTCACAATCCTCCTTCACTCACCTGAGTTCGGTGAAAAGACGAAGTTAGGGCAACCAGAGAAGGGCTAGAATGCAGTGAGTGACAAAGCTAAAAAATCTGTCTACACGTGCCACGCACGCCTTATCGGCACACGACGGACCAAGTTTCCACAAAAGCAAGGGGCGGTCCGGATCCCATCTGGCTGAGTGCCATAGATGCCACAGTCAGAATGGACCACTACAGCCTGAACCTCTATCTTGAGAGAGCCGAATTATTATGCCAGTTGACAGACCTCCAAGCCAGGGGGTGTTGTCAAAGCTTCAAGTGAGTCAGGTTTATTAGTAGTAATAAGGAATGCACTTAACAGCTGTGGGTGTGGATTCCATAGTGTTGACCTCGCTATCTCTTCCCTCGCCCACGTACTCGTTCGCTGTCCGAGGCGGTCCTGTGATTGGCTACAGGTAGGTGACGCGACATACTCCCGCGCCTATAGATGTCACAACAGCCCCATTATCTGCGGCAGTTTTCATGGGATACGATATGTATCGCATAATTAAAAGCATACACATTCATCGCTGACGGTCATACTTGTTGCAGTTTTTTCTTGTTTGCCTGCATTCCTTTCATTAACTGCTTCATTTCAATCACCAGTGTCGATTAATGGCCCACGAATTACTAATTATTTTGACTAGCGGCTACTGTTACTGAAAAGGCTCTTCGCTCGCATCCTTCCTGCTTGAACAATTACGCCGCCTGGTCGGTTTAAGCACTGAATATGGCGGGTAGACTTTGACCGCAGCTGCACCAGTTCCGCCAGGGAAGTACGCTGGGAGAGACTACGCCTGAGGCTGGTGTTCTACCATGCAGCAGCCGTGAAGAGAAGGAGAAATTAGACTAATTCCCTGGCCAGAGCTTCAGGGTCCACAAGATTGAAATAAGTGCTAGTGGCAAAACACGTGGGCCAGAAGCTGTTTCATTCGTGGGTGTCGAGCTTGCAGTCTTTTAACAAGCACACTGATCTTTCCTCCATATTAATTGCTAGGACTTCGCCTGGGTGGAGTAACTGGCCATACTAGAAGTATGCTGACGTACACCACTTCCTATGACAGTGTTAGCGAGTCAAGTTGCAGAGTACTTCGCACGCAAACAATCAAACTCGGAGGGAGGGGGTGCTATTTTGGCAATGAAGGATTCGAATGCAGGTGGTTAAGCAATAATAGCACTGATTATGATAAACTGTGAGGAGTACCGGAACCGAAAGGCCCATGGTTGTCTGACAACTGCATCCTATAAATATAGCACCACTTGTGCGTCTATTACCCTTATTTGTCACTATCTCATATGATGGATTCCAACAAATCTAGAAGGCCACGCAAATCAAATTCCTGTACCAATGATCGCGTCTCGTTCTTCTTATATTTTCCATTCCTCAGTAGGGATACAGCGGTCCTTTCCTTTGCCGATTTAATATAAATTTAGTTCGCAGTATATTCTATTTAGTGCCTTACTGTAGCTCTGTTAATCCTTGCTTTAGAGGGCTCAGTAGCATCCCTATTTAATTGTTGTTCACAGGTTATGCGCAAATTTATTAGCCAAACACTCCGATGACCTAGGTTATAATAAGCAAACAAACTCTGTCACCTGAACGCTTTATCAGAACTACCTGTTACAGAACCCAAGTGCTTGAGGAAGCTTAATAGAGTTTATATTTGGCTCGTATCGTCTCCTTCGTAAGGCCTTCTGTCAGAGGGATGAACATCAGCCTCCATCTGAGAGTCAGCCGTAGGGCAGGATGTCAAAATAAGCTATCAGGTATCATTCACAGAACCTTGTGTAGAAGAGTTTTCCGATTATGACATAACGGTCATACCAGATGGAAGGCAACGGCAAATTGTTATCGGTGGGAGTTAACGGATAAATCTGCTGAGTAAAGGTACTGTTTCTAGTCACTGGTAGAATGCAACATATTCAAATGGGGCGTGGAACTATGAGCCCCAACAGCCCCTCCCTTCCACTTTTTGCCATTTCTACCGTGGCTCTGAAATCCCACCTTTCTTCCCCCCGCAAAACATAACGAAGCTCTAACAAAGTAGCAAGAAGTTTGGTAAGGCAAGGACCCCCTCAATCAAAGTGACCCGCAAAGGGTGCCCTGGAGGCTAACAAAGGAAGAGCTCTCCTTTCATGATGCTGCCACATGCCGCCAAAAGACCCTGGTCGTCTACCCTTACTGATTTGGTAGCCACTTTCTTGGGCACCAGAACAGGTCGCAGTCTGAGACAGGAGCGGACCAGACAGAGACGAATTTGTGTAATTAGCGCCAGTGTTCGTTTCGGATCGAGGAGAGAGAGAGGGAGGGAGAAATCGACAGTGTGCAGTCAGTGGCCACTGGGAGGATGAAAGGGTGCCGACGAGCCGTGGCATCAACAGCAGAAGCAGCTGCTCTTCTGGCCGTGAAATGATAGACAAAGCCGTTGACAAATGTCGATATTGCGACGTCATTTGGGGCCTGATTGCCGCCGGACCGTGAAAGACTGCAGAGAATGTCCGCCTCCTCAGTCACTTCCTCCAAGAGATGCCGCTGTAGACACTATGCATGCACGTCATGGTCCGGTTAAATGAGCTGATCGCACTTCCATCGGTCAGATGGTGGTACGCCTTGGTTCAGACAGACCGATGTAAACTCTGAGAAGGAAATCGGCTGAAAAGCGCGGTTAAACCATGGAACACTTTCATATACACATTTAACAATCCAGGAGCAGGTTCTCATAGCAATTCCTTGTCTGCTGTCAGGCAAGGTGTAACTGCATACAATTTAATTTCATGGTCTGCTGATAGAAATTTTAGAACTAAGATTTTTTCATCCAACTTCTAGAAATGAATCTTTAAAATAAAAGTCGTTCTCTCGTACAATAAGCTAAAATAATGCTCCCTGACGAACATTCAAAGGATAGCACACATAGAACACAGCAACGCAGGTCTTATTTAATGAAGGTTGCGACCACTAGCCCGAAGCTCTAGGATAAAAGCGAACTACTAGTGGATGACTGTGTGAAACTTTTGGCTGCAGAACTATAAACTAGCCGTTAAGTTAGGCACCACAAAAGAAAATATTCGGAAGAAATAAACCGAGAAAGCTCAAATGCCGGCTCCGGCTTTGAAAATCACTGAATACAATATCTGTTTGATTTTTCGAGCGCACTGACATACAGATTTACTAAAAGATACGCAGGATATTTGAGCTCTGGTCAGGTGGTAATGGCAAATTTGAGGGAAATGCTTCAATAGAATTCTCATGAGTTCCGACGTTAAGGTCTGTGCAAAACACTAGCTTAGACCAAAGAGACAGGTGTGTGCTGATCTTCCTAAAAATTGTTTACTATCCTGCTGTAAAATGTTTAACTTGTGCTTTCCGGCCCTATGGATAAGAAATACTAATATTAAACCAGTTATCAATCGTACTGCTTAGTAAGCCTAATATAGTTGTCCACTGTAGCGACTTGTCCACCGAAACAAGAGCAACTATTGACTGAATATATTCATAGTCTCCTTACAAATTCTATTTTTGAAGTTATCAGCTGTTTCTGACCCAGCTCACATGGCCAGAACAAAAACGGAATTGTACAATGCACGAAGGTAGGATGAATACATTTTAACAACTATTTCTTCGATTGTGTGATGGGTGCACTCATGTGCAGGTCCAAACCCGAACGACCTAGCTACCGATTAGGAAATAAATAATAATTCTAATTAGGAATAAAAACACAAAAGAAGCAAACCATAACTTCTCTTTTAGGAAGAGCTTCCTAAATGATGACTAAAATACGATTTTAGCAACTATCTATGGAGATGGGAAAATTTCTATGAAAAAGGGAGCCCACGCCAGAATAAGAATAGAAAAATATCCTCCTTATCTGCCACATTTCCGCCACACTTAATACCCCAGCAGACAGCACAGTATCAACTAACACTAACTACCCTTTCAGGACTTACGAATGCACCACACTGTCTTGCGTCACCAGAAGCCATGAACACTGTAGTAACAAAAAGCTCGTACGCACACACCAGCGCTACTGACTGGAACTCACCCGGCGGTTACGTGAATCCGTACTCCTATCATCCTTCGGAGAATCTGCGTGGTCCAGATCACCAAAACCCCGCTCAGTCTCAATCCACAGGAGGCGTCAGTACTGACTATTCAACCACAAGCATTGACTACATCGTCAGCAAACTTCCTTCGCCTGGTACCAAGCCTACCCTAGGTTGGACTGATTATCGGCCAAACGCAGACGAGGCTGGTCCTGCCAGCATCGGTGACTCTGGATCGGATAATGAGACCGCTGAAGCAGATAAGAAAAGTGCTACCTCCAAGGTTCCCTCAAAGCGAGCCCGCACAGCCTATACTCAACCTCAACTACTTGAGTTGGAAAAGGAATTCTGGTACAACAAGTATCTATGCCGACCACGGAGAATTGAGTTGGCGACGTCTTTAAATCTAACAGAAAAGCAAGTGAAGGTAAATCCAATAACTTGAACGTGCATTTATGTAGGTGTCAGAAGACCAGATAAGCTAAAAACTCACCGAGGCAGAACTTAGTTTTCAGCGTAGTAATGTTATGCCAATCAAGAAGTCGGGACACCAGATTTCTGTATTCAAAAGAAGTTGGGCTACCTTCACATGTACTGGGATTGTGGTAGTTATACTTAGCCCATACACTCTTTAAGAACAGAGTCACTAATTATAAGAATAACTCCACCAATAAGGGACTCATATTTTACGAAATTCGGATAGTAAAACTATTTGTGAGCTGAACCCAAAAAGAATAATAATGGTAACAAACACCATAGCATCGTAATATATACCTATTCGATTTTATATGCCGTAAAATTACAGTGTTTGGGTGATGCCATGACTAAATGTGTCCATTTCTAATGTGCCGATCCCTTAAATGAACTGTCAAGGGAAAACGTAAAATTACGCATGCTTTATAATATTTAACCCAAGCTTCAGCTTCATAGCAGAATTCAAAATTAAAAAAACTTACCCTTACAAGGAAATAAAGCGTAGCTCTGAGGGGCAGTGTGACCAACCTGTAAGCAAAATGCCTATATCTATCTATTTGCAGAAGCTTTTCCTAACAGACAGTCACACACCGCCACATAAGTCCATAAGTAAGTTTTCCGATCAAAGTCTTCTAGGTTACTTCCAGGCAGACGTGCAGCGTTATTGCCTCCCGACGATAGAAACAAATTAAAATACAATTGTTTTTCATGCAGGCACGATGTCAGTGTTCCTAATAACTACTGTTTGTGAGCGACTTAATTGGATGTTAGTCGAACGTCTGAAATACAAATTCGATTAGGAGGGATTATTAAGTGGAGTTAAAATATAACTAATGATGCCGCACAATTCCAGGATATTTCCGATACGACAGACTTTCGGCTTTTGAATGCACTTCCTTTCGGCCACGTACATAAAGTGAATTTAGAAAAAGTGACTACTCATATAATATGACTTTTTCCATTGAGTTTCTGTGCTCCTATCAATTCACATAAATCTTCAAGAAAATATGAAAAGGTATCCTTTCTTGCACTCTTTTAGCAGAAAATAACGTCTTCTTTAAATTCGACACCCAAATAAAGGGTATTTTTAGCTTTTAGAAATGCTTTTCAATCGCCAACTACTTAAAATACGACCTACTGTTGCATATGTGTTTACTGTTTACATTCAACAAGCTGTGTACATTCCATCTAAGGAAAATCACAATACCCTCCGCGGGATTATGAAGATACAAAATAGGACTATGCTATATACTACATAAGGAAAATTAATAAATGGACCTATACAATGCTGTTTGAAGCGATAGTTTAGGGCCTTAAAGACAAATAATTACAAACTGCTTAAAAAACGAACTGACAACATTTTAAGAAGGCGGCATTTGCTGCTACGTGAGTGCTTTAAAGGATATTTTTGTGCGTGCTCTTTATAAACGCTATTTGAATTGATAAGGACATCGACAGTCAATGGAAAAAATCAAAACTACATAAGTAATAATTTTTTTATTAGGGTAGCTTTCGCAGGCGGCCAAAGAGAATTGCGTTCCAAAGTCCACATCCTGAACTGACTAAAATATCTTGGAATTATACTGTCCACTTGTCCATATTAGACCCCCTTTTTGGTAACCATTCCAGCTCGAAAGGGCATTTCAGAATTTTGGTTAACTTCTCATGCGATTGGTCACCGGGCGTAGGTTCCCAGGAGGCGTCTCAACTATGATAGCTTGGCAGCATCACTGTTAAAATAGGTCTTTTTATGTCTGTGGAAATATTTATACTTTTTTCAACCATCTAATCACGATGTGGAGTCGAACTGCTGACAACCAACAAGTAACGCTCAAATTATAACAAAAATCACATTTTAAGGGACCTGGGTTTATGTTTTACCTTTTAGGTATGGTTTCAAAACAGACGCATGAAGTTTAAGAGGCAGACAAAGATGGACTCTTTGTCCCAGCCCCCACCACCTACCGCGTCGTCATCCTCATCATCCGAATTTCGGGGAGATATGTTCATCCATCCACAGGTCCTGAATGATGATCCAGAGCTGCAAAGAGCCCATCTAAACTGTAGATTTTTAGAACCGACTTATAATGCGGTGGGTTGTTCAGTCACCTCCGCTCCCGCCAGCAAGAGGCCAACCGAAAGTTTGTGGCCTAATTCGGACAACATATCACCCAGGTACCTCAATCCGGAGGAATTTTTTACTGCCGTCGGACCCACGCGACGTACGGAACATCCCAGAGACTCAGCCTGCCTTCATGACTCGGGACGCATTGGTCAGGTGGCAGTTCCAGGGCGGCCACCAGCTAGCTCCGAGGAAGTCCGATTTGGGGCATTGTCGTTGACTTCTGATGCTAACACTAATAGACGATCTGCCCGTATGACACCTGTGGAAATCAACTCGCTTCAAAGAGGACACGTGACCGCTGACTGTTCATTGACGCCAATTGGATATCCTAATTTTTCCGGATGGCATCAGTTCAGTTATTTTACGAATTCGGATGGCGTAAACTCTGCTCTTCCATCAGGAGGACCATCGACGAATGTAACCGAGATCCCTCGCGATGGTGGAACTTTGAAGCAGGAGTGGCCATCACAGAATCCCACTGACAGCTTCTACTCCGAAGAAGAGGAGGAAGAGAGGGGAGCGGACGAAGAGAGGGAGGACGACAATTCCCAGGACACTACTTCCAGTGGATCTGAGGTTTACGTTGGTACAGAGAATGCTTACAGGAGCGAGTACATGAAGATGCCCAATCTCCAGGCAATGAGAAACATTAGTACTTTACAGTCGGCCTATAATCATGTACCGGGCCGGGCAATCAGTTCGCTCATACCTCCACTTCAAACCTACCCTGAACAGGGCCGGCTTGATAATTCCTTCTACTGACGCCGTGATCTTTTTTACATGATGCTCCCATATGTTGTTCTATCAACAGCTCATTTTACGTAGGCAATCTTCTTTGTCGAAGTATACTAATTTTGTTTGACAATAAAAGCATAAATCTATCTTTTTCGAAGTTTTTTTTCATATGCTGTGAATGGTATGGCAGGAGACAATGAATGCTTACTCTTACGACTCTTCAAAAGTTCGCCAAAATGAGCTAATCACACATGCCCTTTTCAAAGCAACACTCTTCTGGTTCGCCCCGACTTACGCTGAGATGTGAACTGATCCTAGTAGCTCCTTCGTCGACGGCCTTCGTGCAAGTTCTACCGGCCAGTTAGAAGGAAATTGAGCATTTTAGTTTTGAAAACTTTGAGTGAGGAAGGCGGGCGTATCCAATACTTAGTCACACCGTCGACATTTGCTTCATGCAGCCTCGGACGTTCGATAAAGTTATTGAAGCATCATTTAGCACTGTTGCTGGGCGAATGACGAAAAGGCCATTTATGTTTCCATAACTTGAGAAAATGTGGTTCCAGTTGTTTTTTACACACCGCACGCGCAAGATCGCGTCCGTAGATTGGCGTTTAATGGCCAGATTACCTAGTTGTATTACCTGAGATGCACATACATTTACAAACCCTATGGATAAATATGAGTCTTTCAGATAGTCAATACAGTCAGATCAATGCTGTAAGAGGCAAACACAATTGAAAAATCCTATGGATTAAAATAGATTATTTCCTCTGTAGAAGAAAAGGACCTTTTCATTCGCATCCTTTTGCTAACACAATGAAGGATTATTCGAAAGTTTTGACCGGACGAGACATACTCTATTTATTAGAGTTCTCCGAACTGAAGTTTTAGATTTTCTCAGAATAAGTACTTTCAACTAAAGTAAATATTATGGGTATACATGAAAATGAAAGTATGTAATAAAGTTTCAAAGCTCATAGTTGAAATAACGTTATTTTTAACATTCTTTCTGACGTATACGCAACTGCCAGTCAAACCAGCGAGCCAGCTAGTACCTTACATATAGGATATGATATTTAGTCCTCTGTAACCCCTTATACGAGCGTCGATTTAGTGCGGCGAAAGACACTCCTAAGAGTGTCTGGAGTCACAAATGGCTACTATGGCAAATTCAAAACTAGAATGCAAAAAATATCTTTAATTACTTTGGACGCAAAAGGCCTTTGCTTCGGCAGTCTGTCCAAAAATTAAGTCAACTTATTCGAAAAATAGTTTTGCAGTGCAAGCGCCCACCTAAGCATTTTGATCTCCTACATTGTGCAACTGCGTGAAGCTTGGCTCACCAGTGGGGCTCCCAGCGATCACCACTTACTTCCTAGTAAAATTTTGGTCAGGAAAATGCATAAGAAATTATTTAAGGAACTCAGGATCATGACAATGGAGAACACTCTTCAAATTAAGTATAAATTTAAACGTCATATCCCCCTGAGCCCGAGCACTCCTCACCGCGTAGCATGGCCTATGTCGAAGAGGGCATTAGGGTCATTAAAGGCAATAGCCTTTTCACCTTCAACACGCTGAATATGATGACGTAACTGTTGTTCGTTATTGACGCCCTATGGCAGGCACGATAGCCTTTCCACGAGGTCAGTACCGAGTACGAAGGTGGCTACGGCATTTCGCTCCAATACGCTTGGATGCCTACTTCAACAAAACTGGCATCCAGCATCTGCCTCCTCCAGTTGGCCATACTTGGAGCAGCAGATTTCCCCGAGAGCCAAAAGTTCCACTTTTTCGTGAGCCAGTTCGCGAGCAACTGGTGCCGTCTTAAGCTCGCTCCACTTTTTATTGGATTGATCAAAAGATTATGAACAGTAAAGGCCGCCAGAATGAGCACTGTTACTCTGGCAGCCTGTGGAGAGTCATGGCGAGGAGGAAGAGGGTGGTTGCTGTTTTGATTATTGTTCAAATCGCATTTTTTGTGTTCGGAAGCTACAGTTAACTTGCCAACGCCGTGCTTTAAAGGCAATTTTAAGAAATCGTTTATAGTCCCCTCCCCGGCGAGGTAGTGCCTATTGTTACTGAAGCATCCTAGACGGTTGGCCTCAATGGTTGTTCCGTGTGAAGAAAGCTCAAATATACTAGGCCGCCTACGGTGTCGCATGTAACTCTTTATTTCGTAATTTTCGATTGGGAATGGAAAGAGAGTTTGGAGATTGGTTGAGGGACCACTGCGGCGAAGGCGTACACACGTCGGAAACTTTCATTTGGTTTAGGTCGTTGGTGAAGGTTAGTTACCGTGGCTTAGTGGAACTAGAGCTGAGATTCGGGTGTCGGGACGAAGCTGAAGTTGCTACAAAGATAATCGGTGCTTTCGGCTGAGACTTTCAGTATATTGCTTATGGACACTCAGTATCATTAATCGTGCCTGCTCCACCAGATTCAGTTGGCATTCCCTTTGTTGCGCCTGCGTGTATGGAAATCGCTAGCGGTATATGTGCGGCAGGGTATACTCTTCAGTGTAAGGTTTTACAACGTCCATCCAGCCATATGCATGCGCCTGGAGTAACCGTACAACTAAAATTTGGTTGAGAAGAAGCAGATGTCATCGATGAGACAACGTGGTTCCCTGTCCACGGTACTTCGTACACTTAGGAATGAACACGCAGATATTTGTAACACCATGCGCCGATGAGTAGGCCTGCTCGATTCGAGCAGAAACGCCTCCCATGACCGGGACTGAGTATATGAAGTTGCAGGAGTAGCCTTTTTCACCAGCCATTGTAGATCTTCACTGTTATCGTCCCATTTCTAGAGGCGATCACCGTTTGATGTGGGCTAGCCCGTCATCTTTACCGAAAGGACTTCATTTGAAGTCTGACAAAGGTTTTGTTTTCGCGGTAGTTAGCCATTAGGCCGTTTCACTCAACCTTTTTACCTGCAGAAAATTTTGAACTAAATCAGCTCCAGTAAATACAAAGATTGACCGTCATTTTTGTGGAATGAATAGAGGGACGGCAAGGCGAATTGCTATGTTTCGGTTAAAGTACAGAACTCCAGTTGCCAATACAAGCGAACATATGATTCCCAAGAAGCACTTGAGAAAAAGACGACTCGATCGCTGGGACAATACTTTTATTCGCCTGACGTTTCGATATCCGTCGCGGATTCTTCATCAGAAACATAGTCAGAGAGCAATAGCAGGTAGGGTAACACATACACAAGAGTCTGTC